CAGAGATTATCGGGACACTATCAAACTGGAGAACCTATTCCTGATGCTTTGATTGAAAAACTTAATTAAAACTAAACACGTTAACACTGGCTTATCAAACTCCCGCCAGTTACATTTTGGTCTCTTTGACATGTCATTACATACCATTGAAACAGATGCTAAACTTGAAAGCTTAGACATCAAAAGTCTTTGGAACAGTTTGCGTGAAGAGGTGACATTGATCACAAATGGTGGACACGACAACATTGGGTATGCGACATTTGGACATATCGCTGGTGGCTATGAATCAGGGTACTATGGTTACTTGTATTCGCAAGTATTTGCGACTGACATCTATTACACCCACTTCAAAGCAGACCCAATGAATGTTGCCAGTGGTCTTAAATACAGGGATGTGATCTTGAAGAATGGCGGAGCAAAGGATATCCTCGAAATTTTGGAAGAGCTTTTAGGCAGAAAGCCAAATTCAAATGCGTTTTTCGCGGAGATTTTGGGTTAAGACCGGGGATGCTTTCAAAGACAAGGCCACTCAAAATTATTCTATACATAAATGAAACTAATATCTACTCGAAAAAACACAGCAGTTCAGAGTAGGACGACAGCATAACCACACCATCACCCACATGAAACAGTTCAGATTCCTGAGCTCAATTAATCGAGCTGGTAGAAAAACGGGTATTCTCCACCCTTAACGCAGTATAATATATATATATGTATATATATATATATATATTATTAAATTCTCATGCATTAGATATGTATATTTATTACTACGTGCATTGTAAAACAATTGTTGTATACAATACTCATATATAGTCTATAGATAACGTAACCAATGTTGTGTCTATATAGCACATTAAATATACACTACCTTTGTTGCGCTTTCAAATAACAGACTCGAATCCACAGTATCAAGAGATTTAAGAGGCGTAGAATTCATATGGGGCGGGATTGGGAAGAGAGTTGATGATACGCGGCCGTGCGGCGCCTTTCGCTATTAGTACAGCAATCTAATTATTGCCACCTGAAGTAAATCTTTAGTTTCCTTTGAGATCTAGTGCTATACTTCTGGTAAAATCTCTCGTCATCGTTCTGTAACTCATGCTTACCGTAATACATCTTCGTCGTTTACTCTTCAATTATGAGACGTCTAACTAAAACTTCGTTTCGTGGTGTTGTCTTACTTCATACAACACATTCAGGGGACCATTCAAATTCTTTCGCAGCTAAAAGCTCGGGTGTGCACCGGCCCTTGTCTTCTTTAGTTTCGGTTGCCTATTTTAGTTCATTTGTCCTTTTAAAGGACACTTTTCGCTGTTGAGACACGTCCATTAGAAAATCATGTTGTATGTTCCCAGTGCGCTTCAATGTCTTTCAGTAGGAATACAAAAGCTAAATCCACGATGTTGCTCAGAATAGTTAAAGCGGATTAGCGTAAATATCAATTGAAACTGATTGAGAACGCCCCTTTTAATTGATCAGCTATCTTGAACTGGATCATGCATTCTTGTATCGTCGAATTTGTTTTCTTCTCTAGACATCAAGCATCGAGATGCAGAATACAAGAACGTGGCTTCACCGATGTGAGACCGGTTTGGAGCCGCGCGGTTGCACGACCTCGACAAGTGCGGTGCTGCGGCTCCGCAATTCTTCAACAACATTAGTGCGTCGGTGCTGCGGCTCCGCAATTCTTCATCAACATTACTGCGTCCTTATAAATAAGGCCCCTGTGAACGCGGGGACGGTTTGAACAGCCATTCCGCTTTAACCGATAACGCATTTGCTGTCATGCTGCAAATCAACTTCGAACAATTGACTTCCTCTCAGGCTTCTCCATCTTGGACCTGGACACCCGAAGAGATCTTGCGAATTGCAAAAGAGATTGTGGCAGCCGAAGTGAGCTTTAACGATGGCATTGCAGGAATCAAGGAACCATCTGTCAGCAATGTGTTGATTCCAACGATAAACTTTGAGAACGAAAACTCAAAAAAAGAGAATATGGTCACATTTTATCAGTATGTCTCGACTGACAAAGAAGTGAGGGACGCTTCCACGAAAGCGGAACAATTATTGGATGAAAACTCGATTGAGCAAAGCTCTAGACAAGACTTGTTTGAGGTTTATAACAAGTTGTGGGAGAATATTAAAGACGATCCCAATGCAACTGATGAGGAATCTCTCAAGTTCTTAGAAAAGGTGGTCAAGGGCTTCAAAAGAAGTGGCTTAGGCTTACCTAAGGACAAACAAG